GGGGCCTCTGCCACCGAGTCGCGCAAGGTCCCACCAGGCAAAGGGGGAGGCCGGCAGAGGCTCGGGGGGCCGCGCTGGCGCCGCAGCTGCCCTCCCGGCCCTCAGCGGAGCCGGCTGACACGGGGAGCTTGAAAACGCCGGTACAGGCGGGCCCAGACCCTCCAACCAAGGGCGAGCTCCAGCGCGGCCGTCGCTGTGCTGTGAGCTGCCCGCTGCAAGGCGACCACTGAGGAAGGGAGGCGGGCTTGGGGTGCGCCCCAAGCCCGTTCACTGTCGGTGTTTCTGCTGGGACTCCTTGGAACCAGGAGGCTGAAGCGGCAGCTGGGCCCCGCGGCGGCTGGACCAAGATGCAGTCAGCGGCTGAGCCACGTTGGCCATTTGGGTAGATAGCAAGACTTCTCCAGCACTCAAAACGGTTCCACAGCAAGTGGTTATTGAGCTCCTCCTACGTGCCGTGCAGTGTTCCAGGAATGGAGATGCAGCAATAAAATTCATAAATTATCTGGACTCTACTGTTTTTTGTCATAACCAAACGGTTTAGAAATGTGTCCAAAGTGGCTTTGGAATAGAAATATTTGAATAAGGGGCACTGACCAGTCGTCTTAACTATGAGATGTACAAAAGTGCTTTCGACTTTTGGTTGTCAGTTGTGTTCTCGAAAGGTAGGTAGGAACTGGATTGTTGCTGTCTTGTGACAAGTTCACCAAGTTCTGCACATTAATAGCACCACATTAATGACTATTCATTTTAATTTAAAACCACATAATTTATGACTGACTTCATTCCCAGCATCCAGTAGAGTTTTTTTGTTTGCTTTGTTTTGTTTGCTACTTCTACATGAATTGCCAGTGTTCCTGGGTCCCATGTATTCAACACACTGAGAAGGAATGAGACTTAAAAGTCAGAAGCCAAGTCTTCCTTGCTTCCTCACTGGAACAGCTTTGATCTTGGGTAAGTCATCTTCATGTGTCTAAGTCTGTTGTCATCTTCTGTAAAATATAAATAAAACCATCCATTCGGGGCTACATCACATGTTTGTTTGGGGAAGAGCAATTTTTTTTTCCTTTTTGAGACAGGGTTCTGCTCTGTCACCGCAGCCTTGACGTCCTGGGCTCAAGCTGCCCTGCTGCCTCAGCCTCCCAAGTAGCTGGGACTACAGGCGTGCACAAACACGCCTGGCAAATCTTTAAACATTTTTGTGGAGGTGGAGTCAAACTGTCCAGCTGGTCTTAAGCTCTTGGCCTCAGGCTTTATTGATTCATTTTTATCGCAATGGCTTTGGGGGTGTGAATGGTTTCTGGCTACACGACTGCAGTGTGTGGTGGTGAAGAAGTCAGACCTTGAAGGTTCCCACCACCCCCAGCGGTGCCATGTTACCGGGTGGGTGGTTTTTCATCCCTCCACCCCCCTGCTCCCCGCCTTCTGAGCCTCCAGTGTCCAATATGCCATTCTCTCTGGCTCTGCAGATCCTCAGTTTAACTCCCACTCACGTGTGAGGATGGAGTTGGTTGTTCCTGTGTCAGCTCCCTTAGGATGATGCTCTCCAGTTCCATCCAAGTGGCTGCAAAAGACATCTCTTCATTCTTTTTGTTGGCTGAATAGTATTTCGTAGTGTATGTGTACATTTTCATGGCCCGTTCGTCAGTTGGTGGACACGCAGGTTGATTCCACATCTGTGCGATTGTGAATTGTGCTGTGGTGAACGTGTGAGTGCAGGTGTATTTTTTATATAATGACTTCTGTTCCTTTGGGCAGATTCCCAGTAGGGGGACTGCTGGGTCAAATGGTAGATCTACTTTTAGTTCTCTGAGAAATCTCCATACTGATTTCCATAGAGGTTGTACAAATTTACACTCCCACCAACAGTGTATAAGCTTTGCCATTTTGCTGCATCTACTGGTTTTTTTAAATTTTTTAATAATGGCCATTTTGATTGGTATAAGGTGGTATCTCATTGTGGTTTTAATTTGCATTTCCCTAAGGATGAGTGATGTGAGCATTTTTTTAATAGATGTGTTGGCCATGCCTACGTCTTCTTTTGAGAACTGTCCGTTGGTGTCATTTGCCCACTTTTTTTTTTTTGAGTTGGAGTCTCAACTGTCGCCCAGGCTGGAGTGCAGTGGCACACTCAGGGCCACCACAGCCTTGACCTTCCACCTCAGCTTTCCAAATATCCAGAATTACAGGTGCATGCCACCATGCCTGGCTAATTTTTTGATTTATTGTAGAGATGAGGTCTCGCCAGGTTGCCCAGGCTGATCTCAAACCCCTGGGCTCAGGCAATCCTCTTGCCTCTGCCTCCCAAAGTGCTGGTATTACAGGCGAGAGCCACTGCACCCAGCTTGCCCAGCTTTTTAACGGAGTCATTTGCTTTTTTGTTGTTGTTGACTTGTTTAAGGTCATTGCAGATTCTGGGTATTAGTCCTTTGTCAGATGTATAGTTTTTTAGTATCTTCTCCCATTCTGTAGGTTGCCTGTTTGCTCTGTTGATTATTTCTCTTGCTGGCAGAAACTTTTTACTTTAATTAAGTCCCACTTATTTATTTTTGCTTTTGCTGCATTTGTTTTTGTTTTAGCCATAAGTTCTTTGTCTAGATCAATATCCAGAAGCGTTTTTCATAGGTTTTCCTCTAGGGTTTCTATGGTTGCAGGTCTGACGTTGAAGTCTTTAATTCATCTTGAGTTAATTTTTGTGTAAGAGGATGACAGGGTTCAAGTTTTATTATTCTGCTTGTGGCCATCCAATTTTCCTAGCACCAGTTGTTGAATAGGGTGTCCTTTCCCAGTGTATGTTTTTGTCTGCTTTGTCAAAGATCAGTTGGTTGTAGGTATTTGGGTTTATTTCTGGATTATCTATTCTGTTCAGTTGGTCTATGTGTCTGCTGTTGTACCAGTAGCATGTTGTTTTGGTTACTATCACCTTATAGTATAATTTGAAGCCAGGTATTGTAATGCCTCCAGCTTTGTTCTTTTTACTTAGGATTGCTTTGGCTGTTCTGGCTCTTTTTTTTGGTTTCATATCAAATTTAGGATTTTTTTTCTAATTCTGTGAAAGATGGCATTGATAGTTTGATAGGGATTGCATTGAATCTGTAGATTACTTTGGGTAATATGGTCATTTTAACAATGTTGATTTTTTTCCAATCCATGAGCACAGTATGTTTCTCCATTAGTTTTTGTCCTTTGCAATTTCTGTTATCAGTGTTTTGCAGTTCTTGCAGAGATCTTTTACCTCCTTGGTTAAATACACAGGGTGCCCCA